TGAGTGCACATGAACCACGTTGTTGTAACTTCTGTATTGTTAGCTAGGCACGGGTGAAAGTTCAATATAATAAAAATAATAAATGTATAATGTTATGAGATTTAAGTTATTTCATCTAAACATTTGTGTTTTTGTGTTATAATTTGTGTTCATTCTAGAATGAAAGAGGCATAATTTATATTTATTTCCTAATTTTTTATGGTGGTTGCAAGATTGGTCAAATCTACCAAACCCATACAGAGATTAATTACTGAAAATAACAGATAAAATTTAGTTTTTTCTTAATAAATGTTTGATAACTAAGTGGACATTACAAAGATTTTGCATGTGAAATTTCAAAATTCTGTTGCATAAAAGTACTTTTAATCTTTGCATAATAGATATACAAAAAGAAAAAAAAAGACATGAGAAAAATATTGCTTTACAAACCCTAAAATTAATAAAAAAAAAATTTTATATTTTGCATATAAAAGCATTATAATGTTTCTGATAATCTGCCAAATTTCATTAACATTCACTTAATAATTCAAAAGTTATAGCATGAAAACTATAACAAGCACAAAATGGTTATGAGGTTGGTCCCAGGGACCGAGCCCGTGCTGAAAGAGTTAAAAATGACTGACTTAGAGCAACAAAACTGTAGGTTGAAAGCACATACAAATATACAAGTATTGGTTAGGCCAAGCAAATTAGATTAGCAGTTTCTAGCTTAAGTTTAAAAGAATCATATTGGTGGATAGTTATCATTCATTGCTAACTTTTAAGCACAAATTTGCTAAATTTTATGAAATTCTCCTAAATAAAGAGCATTTAGTGTCACATTAAGCAATTACCATAAATAATTATGCTTAACATGGCTGTACCAGGTATATGCGGGTGATGACAAAAAACTGTTAATCTAGATTCCATGGTGTTACCAAAAAAGGAAGTTATTAACACTGTTTTAGAGATGAAAAACTACCACCATATGTTTTAAGAACATGGTTGGTTCTGTAAAGTATAGGTCTGTTTCAAATAATAGGGCTGCAATCCTAAAGCTAATGTTGGTTACTATCCAGTGTCACCAACTTACTTGCTGTGGTTGTTGGTGTGTATGGACAAAAGGAAATGAGATCTGATTAAAAACACCTTAGGTGTGAAAACAAGGTGCAGCTAAAAATGGATTGAGCATCCAACTTAAATGAATGAAATCAAAATTGAAGGCCAAACTGGTAGCTACACTTAGAGCATTGATAAGAATTTTACAGCAAATATTCCTTCATTAGTTGTTTTAGGTAATAATTAATCACAAAATATTATCTTGAAGAATATATTTCTTCTCTATTATTGTAATACCAAACATTTCTTTGAACAAGGTACATATGTGAACCAGCAACTTTTGAGTGCGAGATTAAAAGGTGAATAGTTATCTTAAAAGTTGTATCATGATAGTAGTAAAAAAGACACACATCTAGAACAAATCAAGTGTTGAATTTTAAGTTAATGAATAAAAAACAGTACAAACACATATTTGAATACTATATGCAAATATTATTTTTAAATTTATCTAAATATTAATATTATTTGCCTTAAATTTTTTACATAAACTTAATTTTTTTAACTTCCATATTATACATATTCTTACCAAACATTCAGGGTTTGAAATTAATGCCAGCAAACCAGGAAACTGCTGTTTAGTGTCGCAGTTTTGCTAGTAAAACTTATAAGGCACCGGAAAAAATTTACTAGTACACACTTCAGATGGAAAATCCACAGATTTGTACCATAGAATTTTAATACACCCATGATAAATGCATTTTGGTAATTCATATTGCAAGATTGTGTTACAGAAGTTTATTACAATTGTGATTAATCAATTTCACTTGTCAGTGAAATGTCAGTTTTATGATCCCAATTTGAGCAAACGAGGACAGCAAAACTATAGCTTCAACTCATTTGATTGGTTGCCTAGGCAATTAACATGTAAGCTGGTCAGCCAGTTAGCCTCTCACCAGAGAGCAGTTTTGTTAATACTACGGTTAGAAATATTGCACCCACATGGTTGCTCTATGGAGGTAATCATACAATAGAAGTCCCATTAAATATAGATTATGTTACACATTCCTTTTAATTTGTCCATGAATAATACAAATGATAGTCCTATTGGCTCCTAGTGCTTTACCAGTTTTTGACGTTTAAATGTACCTTTAAATAATTTTTTAATAGGGCAACTTTTAGCTCACCTCTCAAGCATCTATTAACTTTTGTGAAATAGTTGAATAAAAACATTGTTACATGTAAACAAAAATGATTTTTGATTTTCAAAATACTTGGAAAACACGACATGAGATTTAAACACATAAATAGGATAAATACATTTTCACTAACATTTAATATAAAAAATAATATTGTTGCTAGTGCCTTCAAGAAGTTAAGATAATTTTTGAGTTGCGTTATTTATTTATAAAAACCTATTCTTAAGTTTAAAAATATTAAGCCACAGAAATCCTTAACCATTACCCCCAGTGTTCGATAATGCTCAATGTTAAAAGTGTAAATGTTTTCTTTACTTTTAAGGCTTTCTTAATACAAATTATATTGGTTTATAATATTAAAAAGGTTAGTAAAAACCCTATTTTCACTAGTGCTAATAATTAATTACCTCTTTGTGCTTCTCCATTGTGGAGTAAATTTTGGCAGTTAAGTCATTGCCAGTATTAGGAACATTAGATTTTTTGGTGTTCTTCCTTTGATTATTTTTGTTCTTGTTGGCTTTTTTTCGGTTACTTTTTAGACCTTTCTTCTTTCCCTATAAAACAAAAACTACGTTTTATAACACAATACTAACTGCTAGTTTTGCCTTTGATAGTAATTAAAATAAAAAATCAATTTAATCAACCTATTCTCACTCAGAGTACAATCACAGCAGTGTCTGTTGCTGCCAGCCTTTAAAAAACAATAACTAAATTTGACATGTTACAGGCTAAAACACAGGCTAGTTTTAGCAAAGTCTTTCTTGCAGAGGTGCTATATAATAATTAACAAGTCCCATAAAACCAAGTATGGGTATACAATTAAAAATAGTTTCCTACTTTCCAACTAATAATTCAAGATAATTATTCTTACCTTGTAACTGAGAACATTCATGTGTCACTGGCCACAGTGAGTCTGCTTCAGAGCACATGCATGACAGCTACAACTAAGAACTGAATTTTCCACTTTAAATGAAAAGTAAAAAAATTCTGTTCCTGTAAAAATAATTTCTTTGCAGGCTGAAACACTAAAAACCTGACTTTTATGGACTATTACAGGCTCTTTAAGTAATCATACAGTTTAAAGGTTCTGTAGGAGGTTTGAGAGTAACAGTATTCAGCCACTTTTTATCTTTAGTGTTTACTATCTACTACTGTTTATATTTAAAAAAATCACTTTTTTTTAGAAAGAATGATTTAACAATAACTGATAAAATCACAAACTCCTTAAGTATCTTTAAAGGATTTTGTCTATGTTTTTGAAATAATTTTTCAAGACAGTCTGAAAACGGTTACACAATAATATGTAGACAACTAAAATTTATAAATTACAGCTTATACATTCAAATCACTAAGTAATAAACAGTTCACCTGACTAGTGTCTCCCTCTGCTTCAATTTCCACAAAACCTTCACAAGCAGCAGCAGCTGCTGCAGCTGAAGCTTCTGCTGCTTTACGTTTTTCCTCTTCTTCTTGGTCTAGTTCTTTAATGCTTTCTTCAACTACATTAGGCCAAAAATCTCCCTCAAAGTATGGAAGCTCTACTGCACTACTGAAGTTGTCTTCTGTTGCTTGTTTTAGGATATCCTAGGTAGTTTAAAAAATTAACACTAGTTATAATTTAGATGAACTAGTGGGTGAATTTTATTTTTATCATATTATTCAAAAGTACTTTACTACTTAAGTTTCAAATAAAAATAACAAAAATGCCAATAAAAGGGTGTTTGAAATTAGCAGTGGCTAGCTGGCAAAATGCCAGCAGGTTATTGTACTTAATCATGACCATCAAGGGGTACAGGCACAATGCCATTTTTTTGTCAGCTGAAATTCTGAGCATCATTATGAACATTCACACCAATTGTAAATAATAGTCCAATAGTATATATATATATATATAACAGACAGACACACACACGAAGAAGCTGTCTGCAAGCAACAGTATCACAAACACATGCCAAAAATTTGATAGTATATCAAACAGTACAGAATTATAACATATTAATACAACTAGTTTTTATATTACCCTTTCCAATGATGTATTTCAGATTTTTACTGGCTCAAAATGATAAGGTCAAGTTTTGAAAAATTATGTTTAATCCATCCCCTCATATTACCTACAAAATAAAAATTATAGCTTAAATTTTTATATCTATTTGATATAAGTTTTGTTAACAATTTTTTTGAATTAAGTAACTAGAAAAAAAAAAGAAGAAAAACCCACTAGTCCTAACTTTAATTTCTTTCCCCCTGCTGCAATTTCCCACTAATGCAAATACAACTTGTCAGTGGATGAAATTAAACTGCAAATCTTTAAACATGCACTTCTTTTATTTTTTTTTTTTAGTTCAAAGAGTTTGAAAACAGTAAATTACTGAATTTGATGATGCTAAGAACTGTAAATAAAATTTAACTATCTACATTTTGTTTAGCAATTTTCTCAAGCTAATAAAATTGTAAATATATCATCTGAAAACCGGTATCATTTTCTATCTTGCAATCTAGTTGCTAAAGGTCTCACCTCACTTCCTTGCATAGTTATGCAACTGTATGTCAATCACTGTCATATCATGGCTCATGAAGAGCAATTGCTCAAAACGTTGTTGTTGTTACTTGTTTTAACATAATTATTTATGATCAGAATATTGGAGTCAGGATAGGATCTAAACTTCCATTTGTTATGGCAAAGTTAATTTCATATTAATGAAGAGTAAGATGTTGACAGACTGCTCTGTTGCTTCTAAGCCACTTTGTTACAGGTATTACATGGATGATTCATTAATTACTTTTCAGTTAAAAAACATGTATATAAATTCTACATTGTTTTAATAGCAAAGAAATATTAGTGTCACTAGCAAACAAGGTCATTAAAAATTACAAGTTTTAAGATACTGATACATAATGAATAAAAAGGTTTTAAAGTGAGTTTTTATCGTGAATCAACAATTTACAAATTATATGAACATTTTGAAAGTTTGGTATCTATAGCTTATAAATTAAAGGTTTTATTAAATTTCTGATTTGTTACAGTTGCAATTTATTTCATGAAAGTTTAGAAACTGAATGAATTTTGTACTAAATAGTTATAACGAAGTTGAACACATAAACAAAGTTATTATACCTCAGATTATGTAACCTAATGTCCCTCCCCACTCAAGAAAACAAAAATAAAACATTTTGTTTCTGTAGAGAAAAAAAATTAATAGCTCTCTCTTGTATATAGTATATCCACAAGTTGTGCTATAAGTAATGAATCCTGCTTTTTGAGTAAAGAATTTATTTACCTTCAAATGTGTGATTCCAAAGATTAAGTGATCTTTTATGGGTAAAAGTTTTATATCCTTGTTACATTAAGGTAGGCCTCGACAAATCTCGAATGTCAAGTTGCTATGGAGACTAAAAATTTCATCGTGGCAGCTAGTATTTTCTTCCATTTTATTTGTACGTAGTGCTGTGTTAAATAGAACATGAACCTAGAACAGTTCTGGACTCTTGGAAGTCTGGAACTGTTTTGCCATTCTTTGAGTCCTAAGTCAAACTTTGTTTCTAGGATTTTAATGGTGGATTCAGCACTTCATGTTTTTTCAGAAATGAAGTGCTTCAGTTGCACAACAAGTTACTAATTTCATGACATTTTGTTTTTCTTATTTCTCTCAATTCAACCAATCAGTGTGTGTGTGTGTGTGTGTGTCTTTAGACTCAAACAGAAGTTAGTTCAGGCAATAATATCAAATGGTTGTTGATACCATGATCATTAGCATGCACTTCTTGCTGCAAAAGTAAATAAACATACACTAGTGCCTTGATCATCCATAATGGTCTTGGGAAAGCAAACAATTGCAGATAACAGAAACAGTGAATAATCAAGTCACTAGTGTATCTCACTAGTTAGCCCATGGTTTAATCTAAATAAAATTTTTCAATATATTTAAGTTCCTTGTTTTAAATTATAATCTTTTTACTGTCATTTACACACAATATCCTGAAAAAATTATAAAAAGTCGTCACAATCATAAAAGCCAAGTGTCGGTTGGTTATGCTCAATTTCTCCGAATTTTGTGAGTTACACGAGTCCAATTCCACTTTTTCTCCTATAATACTTCCTCTTTTTATTGCCTGTTCCTGTTTAAGTTTAATCGCTAATGTAGGTGTAAATAGCGCCCACGTTTTGGCTCTTTTTCTGCTATAGACAAATAAGTGCACACCATCAACACTTGAGTAAAATAAGTAAAAAATTAGCACAAATCTATGCTTCAAAATTATTACAAAAAAAGCCTTTGTTAAAACAGACTATAGATACAATTATCTGTAAGGAAGAGGACAATGTGTAACTGGGTGGCACCCCAACACAACTTGAACATGCATCTGTGGTTAAAGGATGCCTGCCATGCAGCATAGAACAGCAGATATCAACTAAAGTTGAGTGAAATCTTTAATAAATCTTAATGTGTATTTTTGTATATTATGTTTATAATCACTAATCAAATAAAGTTAACCAAGCTTGGAATATTTTAAATTCTTGTCTTAACAGCTAAAAATAAAAGAGGTAAGGCTAGGCTTGAACTGGCAGATTTGAATGCACGGCAGGTCCTGCATGCAAAAATCCCAGATATCATGCAACACCCGAACTTTTGCAACCAATATTAATTTCTGAGCAACAGTTTCTCCAAAACATGTAAATTGTCATCTAGAATTGTAATAGCACAGTTAAACTGAGAAAATTGGGCAAAAGAAAAAACAAGGATAATCGATGGTTGTAGATAACGAAGGTACAGGTAATCAAGGCACTAGTGTAGCCCCCATTTCCCAGTACAAACAGTAGTGAAGTCAGGTTAGGCACACCTGCCTCCTGAGTGTTTGGGCTGGCTGCTAGTTCTGAAAATATTTGTTGAGGCCTGCACTAAGGAATATGTAGTATCCACCACTAGGTAGCTATTAAAAAGAATAAAACACAACCAGTAAGACCAAGATGTACATCTAGTAGAGCTCAACTATTAGAAACTGCGCATAATGTTGTGATTTTGACTTTCAACTTTACTATTGTGGGTAAAGCTGTGAATGAAGTGCATCTGAGGATTTCAGGTCTTTTGACTGCTAATCTGAATCCAGCCTCACATAAACAGAATTTAACATACACACTTTTAAATTCTCAGCTTGTCTTTTTCATTCTTTTAAAATAATGACAATAATTGATTTTATATTTAGAAGTAATAAGCTCAACTTTTTACATTAACTTTTAATTTAAAATCAATTCATTAAATTCAGCTAGATCTTGACTGAAAAATTAAAGAACCAACAACGATAGGTGCATTTTCTGCTGGAATAGCATAGTAATTGCATGTACACCATATACTTTAACATAGTCTATACACAAAGAATAAGCCTTTCACACCAAAAACACAAAAATATAACCATTCTGCTGACCTTTACAGTATCTTTCAATAGTTTTTTTCTTTTTTCACTACATCAGGATTACATATGCTTGTTTTGTTGTCAAGCATAAAGCTACACAATGGACTATCTGTACTATGCCCATTGTGAGTATCCAAATCCAGTGTTTAGTGTTATAAGCATTCAGATTTACTGCTAAGCCACTGTGTGGGCATCATATATGCTTTTAGTGAGTACAGAAGTGGTTGTGCTTAAATTTGTAGGAAATTTTTTTTATCTATAAATAGAAAATAGACAAAAGTTTTCCTGTATAACAAAATGAGAACGCATTCTCTTTATACAAGTACAATAAAAAATGTTTAAATTTTATAAAGACAAGTAGGGATCGATATGTATGTAACCTAGCTACAGTAATATAGAAAGTTTAAATGCTACAAAAAGTATTGGAACAAGAAAGTCAAAACTGTTAAAAACTGAGTTACTTAAAATTTGAAAATCTTTATCCCTACTTTGGCAAATCACATGTTAGTCTGAGCCAAAATAGAAATAAACTTCTTTAAATTTTAAGTAACTCAGTTTTTATTGTTTTAACCTTACTTCAAAACGTTTTATGGAATTAAACTTTCTATATTACTCTAGCTAGCTAGGTTATGTACATATAAATCCCTGCTTATCTTTATAAAATTTAAATTTTTTATTCTACTTGTTTGTTTCCTTTTTATTAGCTATTTTTTGTGCACCAGCAGCACCTAGCATGGGGGGTACATGTATCCGATTTGATTGTATTACTTATCAGGATTTTTACTAACCTACCCTCAAATCTAATTATATACCCAAAGTAGCACACTGTCTGTTTTATATACATGTACTAGTATCCTTTTTGGTACAAGGAAGGAATCATTGGAACACCAGACAGAAAAGTTCTGTAAAAGAATTAGATGAAATATTGATTCACACCATAAACATCTATATAGTGATTTAGGTGGCTTTATATATACAATAAGCTCTAGTTTTGCTCAGCCAATACTGTGAAATAGTCACTGTTAATATTCAGACATTTTAAAGGTGGTTTTAAACCAGCAATTATTATGGCTCCATTTTGTTTCATCATGATCCCTGCCACTAAGTACTACTATACTTAATGATAACATTCCTATTTCAACAACAAAGCCCACAATAAATGTTGAGAGTACAAATTGGGATCATATAATACAAACAAGCAAATAAAATGTTAAATGTTTACACGTTAATGAATGCCTGCTTATTTAAATCCAACTAAACGTATTTTAAAAATTCTTACATCATAAACTGTGCAACTTTTGTAACCCAACTTCGATCTGCTTCTTCATTATACTAGTACAGACTACAGCTTTATTTTTGAGAGATACCTTGTAATTACATGAGTACGAGTCCATTAGTTTTATTCATCTACAGTTTTTGTCTAGACACATTATGATTAATGCATTTAATCATTAAATCAAGTGTATGTTATATCTAAGTTAATTATCAAAACAAAAAGTGCAAAGAATTAGTGTTAAAAATGAAAACTTGTTTCATTATGATTTTTACTTAGGCTCAAGTGGAAGTGTTATATTATTACTTACATTACTATACTTCACACATTTTGTTTTTCATCTCTTGTCAGCAAATTATGAGAATGGGAATTTATAACTCAATTCTTAAATAGCTGTCTCATAAAATACTCTAGAAAATTTGAATCTTTGTTATTACACTCACCAAATAAGCAATAAAATAAATGGGTTCATTTCCATTCTTTTAACTAAGCATCTAATTTAAAAACATATATTAAGGTAAATGATAATAAAAAAAAAATTATGAACTACCTAGATATAAAGTTAACAGTTCAGTACAATGATACTTCTAACTCAATAAAATTTGATTATGCTTCTCAACTCTTTCAGCACAGGCTCAGAACTGGGAATTACCTTGTAACTATTTTGTGCTTAATTGAATAAGAAGAGTTGTTTATACATTTCTTTAACAAGTAAAAGCTTGGAATGGTCTATTCTTTCAATGGTGTGTGTGTGTGTCTGTGAGACAGACTAGTTTCGGAGAATTCCACTCCTCATCAGTGACCCTGGACACTACCACCAATGAAATATCAGACCAAACTAAGCCTTTATACTAGTGAAGTGTAAAACTAGTGAGCGTAAAACACGTAAATACACCAGTTTTATCTTGTGCTTGTTATAGTTTTCATGCTATAATTTTTAAATTAGCAAATGAATGTTAATGATATTTAACACATTATAAGTAAACATTACAATGCTTTTATATGCAAGATATCAAATTTTTTAAATTAAGTCTTAAGGTTTCTAAAGCAATATTTTTCTCATGCCTTTTTTTTTCTTCTCACACGTTGCCTATCCAACATGCAAAGTAATTTTCATTTTAAGATTAAAAATTCTTCTATGCATCAGAAAATCTTTAAATTTCACAAGCAAAATCTTTATAATGTCCAGATAGTTATCAAACGTTTCTTAAAAAAAAACTTTATATTTTATCTGTTATTTTCACTAATGAATCTCTGTACAGGTTCAGTAGATTTGACCAATCTTGTAACCACTATAAAAAATTAGGAAATAAATATAAATTATGCTTCTTTCATTCTAGAATGACAATAAATTATAACAGGAAAACATAAATGTTTAGACTAAATAGCTTAAATCTCATAACATTATACATATATTCATTATTTTTATTGTATTGACATATCAGCCATGCCTGGCTAAAAATATACAGAAGTTACAATGACGTGAGTGACACACGTGCATTCATGTTACTGTATCCAGTAACATAAAACTGACCTTTGGTGTGTACAAAGTGACTTGTCTTGGCTTTGTTTTAGTAGACTAGTATTTTGTAAAATACAGTAACATTTCAGTTATTATACATTATATATGTATATCAATTTTTGCTATTTTGAAATACATTCTTAAAATTATTTTTCCTAAAGAAGTAAAGCAAACAGTTATCTTTTCTAGTTACAACCTTTATACTTGGTTGCTGCTTGATGTAGGTTGTGTTGCTAAGCTACTAAAAAATTTGCACGTGGAGGATATGAAACAAAATATTTTTAGTTTTTATACATACATTTGAATAACTAAAAAAATAATAAATTACTACATTACTGCTATAGAATTCCACTATAATTTATCAAGCTTAGTAACTAAGATGTATTTTAGACAGAAAAAATATGAAATTTTGAGCAGACTAAAGACACACCTTACCTCCTTGAAATATTAGTTCGAAAGAAAGAAATGGTGTCAAGCCTGTTAACATGGCTAAGAAAGTCACTAGGGGGACTTCTGAGCTTCTCATTGGTTATTCATGTCATATATAGAAGTAAGTTTATATAATGGAACGTTTCCAAAAATGGAAAGAGGTGGGTGGGGTGCTACTGTGTTTGA